AAATTTTGAGGGATTTTTATGTCTCATTTGAAAGTGATCCTGTGTCCCAAGGTTAAAATTCACAATAAATTTATACTCAGAAACATTAAAGTTTCTAGAGTTCAGTTGAGCAGTATCTCAGCAGCACAGCATGACCAAGCGTATGGAAAGATCCATACCATGATATTGATAACACAGCAGCCCCGATTCTGAGGAAGGAATTCATAACAGGGATGTAATTAAACCTAATATCTACTAACAATACCTAAGGTAGCAACACATCTTAACTATATTGCATTGCAAGATCTTTACATCAATACAATGTCGGAAAAGAGAACTGGAGAGCATCCTCATGCTTCCTTCCTACAGACAGAGTGCTGCAGTTGGTACTGGATGTAAGTGGGATCAGGCAGGCTGCATCCCCTGCGGACACTGAAGGGCTCGATGGCCAGCTAATGCCAAAGGACAGCGGTGAACACCAGTGTGTCCAGGAGGGATGGATACACCGCAGCATGGACATGTGGCTGTGGCACGGACAGTCAAATGAGTGCTACCTTTACTAGAATGGATAATAGAAACTCCCAAAAGAGAACAAGGGAATAAAACAACTCTCCAGAAATGTCTTTACACTCCTGCATGAAGGCAGGAAATTTTTTCACTTTTTAAAGAAAAAATAAGTTGGACATACAATAAAGGAGACACCTTTTTTTAATTATACACTTCCTGTGAAAGTATTATGTCCTACCCTTCCCCCAGATGTCCCTATACTGTTCCGGAACTATGACAAAACCACACACTGAAAAGCCTTATTACATTACTCCTTAAGTTGAATTGAATGTTATGTTGAAAAATAAAAGTTAACTTTTTATTTCCTTCTTCTAACAATGGCTTTTTTCCTCAGCGTTACTCAAATTGCATCATATTGAGAGAAAATTTATATCAAAGTTACAACTATGACAAACGGTAATATGTTGCCTTCTCTATTTAGAACCCAAATAAATCAGCAGGCTTTGACAGGACACCAGAACTAAGGCAGCAATGTGTTCATAAAAACATACATACATACATCCAGCATAGGTGAGCTGGAAAACTGGAATATATAATACATGATTTTCAATAAGTAGTTTCATATTAAGATTAGAAAATGTTTTGTAATGTCTTAAACACATTGTTGTCTATTTCATAAATTAGGAAGTAACTTCACCAATGGAAGCATATAAAGAGTGCAATTTTTCAATTGAGAAATAATCTTAAAATCCCTCACTAAAGTATTAATCAATAATAAGATGCTAAAAATAAAGTCATATTTTTCAGTATTTTTTCATTTTGACATTGATTTCATAATGTCCTCACAAACAATTTAGTTACACTTTTAATACCATCACAGCTCCCTTTGCTCTCTTTGAGACTTACTTTGTTTAGACACAGTGCAAAATTTTATACTTAATGAGTAACCAGTGACACCCCCTTGCACTGGGCAGAGATCACAACACTGCTCCTGCTTCATGCCGGTGCGTTCCCAGGCAGAGGGAAGGGCCTCTCAAGCAGAGCAAAGCAATGAGATTTTGCTGGGCAGACCTCGAGAAGACAGCATGAACCAAATAATAATGAATACAGTTCTTGCTACAAGTAATGCAACTACACTGCTTCACCCCCTCAGAGACACTGTGACAAATCAGAGACGTTGTTGCCACAGACTGGCACATACTGGAAATACTCACAGGTGTTGGAACTCTATAAATCCAGTATAAAATACAGAAATTATGAATATCTAGCATATTCACCATCCACCAAGATCAGGTTTACACAGATTTTGTAAATGAAAGGACTAGAGTTAGGTAATATGACAATACACACAAGACACTATTTTACAAAGAATGCACAGTTCATCACCCTAATAACTAGATTAACAAATCCATAATAACTAAATCAGCCTTTTAAAAACAAACTAGGACATCTTGATTCTAATCCAAACAAACACCAGTATCTCATGCACAGGCACGTCTCTTCAGTGGTGTATCAGGAATAAAAGGGGCTACTTGATCTCACATTGCAGTACATCTGCCTCTCACCTCAGCATATTGTAGACTGTGCTGTGAGACACCAAATTTTACTGTGCTGCCATATAGGAAGGTTATCAAAGCAAACCAGCTGAAGAGCTAAAAAGCTAAAGAAAAAAAAGCTAAAAAGCTAAAGAGAAAACTACCTGCAGGGGCACTTAGATACTGACATCTATTTGGGTTCCAAATGTTAAAGTCACCCCCCTTTAATTATCCATACAAAAAGCAGCAGCACTGCAAGAGAAAAACAAGCAGAGACATTTTCACCTTATAGTGTATTTACATCAATGAAACATAGACAAAGGGAACCAACATGTGGAAAGTAGAAATACCTGTTCAGAATATACAGATTCTAAAGCAAAGTTCAAGTAAACAAGCTTTTCAAATCTGTCAAGCTAGAAAATGTTGTATTAAGCATACACAGTTCCCTTTGCAAAGCTCACTGGAGTGACCACGTATCCCCAGAGCAGACAGCAAGCTTGTCATTTGAGAAGACTGTACATCCAACTTGAAGCCTGCTGTTAAAACTATTGTACCCAAGCTAGGTGAAAAAGCATCCATAAGGCTCAGGCTAGCTGTATCAGCATCCCAAACCTATACCCTATACGCTGTACTGCCTCACACCACACACACTACTGCTTTAGGTCAACCCACACACTGAGCTTACCTTTACTCACAGGTGTTGGGAAGCTTATTTCTTAACAAAGATTGTATGTGAAACAAAACCAACTAAATGTTGTCTCTAACCACTAGGTGTCAGCAGAAGAAAGTGCACAGCCGACACCTCTGCCGCAGAAAGTGTGTCTCATTGCCGCCTCACTTACCAACATACACAACTATTACCAAGTACTACAAAACCCCTTTACACAGACGTAGCAATTATACAGCTATTTCTGTTGAAAATCACCTAATTTTGTGAGTTAAATATTTAGAAGATGATAAAAGCATTCCCTCTGCAAACAGCAAAAAGTAAGGAATTTAGAAAAAAGTAATTCAAGCGAACAAAATCCTTAGACTGGTGTCACTGTTAGAAATGTCAGAAATATTCATACAGATAATCCGCCTCAATATAGCCAAGCGAACAGACTGCTTCTGTGTTTCACTGAACTTAACAGCAACAGAGGTTTGCGGAGACTGTCAGTACACCACATGCAACAGATACTCTTCCGTACTTAAAATGTGGCTTAATGCAACTACAGAAAACACATACACATAGTAGAACAAATAACTGAATTCGTTCTTTTATTACATAAAAATTTTGATTAGATGTGTAGACTATTATCTGGATATGTTTTTTCATGCAAAGGTTCTAGTTACTAAAGGCCTCAGAAAATTTACGGCAACAGTAACTCATTCATTGTTGGTGTACTGCTTCGTATACACGATACATAGCCTGGCACCTGTAGAGTAAAAGCTTCAGAACAGAATACGAGCTCTTACTGTGCTGAAGTATAATGTGAATTTAAAGTCTGCTCCGTGACACGCTCTGGGCCTACACAGAATTTCCCCTAAAAGGGAAATGAAGTATAAAGCAATCGTATGACCTGTCCAATACCTGACAGGATGTCTGTGGCAGAAGTGGAAACAGAATGCAGGTCATTTGACTCTGACATGTCCAGCACATGTAACACTTGGAAATTTTCTGTATCTAAATCTTAATACTGAAATGTATAACCAGAAATTAATTTTTTAATTTATAAAAGGAATTAGGAAAGAAAGCACTGAAAATTTCCACTTCCTGATTATTAAAATTGTATTTTGTGACATATTTGTGCAATTATGTTTGCAAATTTTCCTTGATGGAATGATAAGAAAACCAAACAATTTCTTCTACTTCCTCAGGCTAGCTGTCCCTCAAAGCTGCACTTTCTAGGGGTGTGCCATTGTCAACTGATTTCAAACGTTCATCTCTAACATTCAGCGTTCAAAATACCAGATGGTATTTCCAGAAAAGCAATTTCAATTTTTATTTTTCTTCATAAATCCCTTAACTAGTTAATCTCACACACACATCCAGGCAAAGCACAGACCAACATTCCCAGAGTTGCCTGGCAACTACTGGGAGGAGCATCAGCGAACAAGGAAGCCTGCAAGGATGAAGGGAAGTCAGTGTCTCCCTGACACAGATAAAGGAGGCTTACACCCAGTGTGCCTTGCTGGTTTCATTTTTGCTATTTATATGGACAACATTTTCAATACCTCCCATTATTTCACCTTAGATGATTTAAAAGCCCAGTACTTACATCCAGACATAAATACATGAGTCAATACAACTTAACTTTTTACACACACGCGCACGCGCACACACACACACGTGGAAGGACTCATGCTGACTTCAAAAGTTGTTTTTGAAGCCTGGATATGAATTGTTGGAATGATGTTTATTTCATAGGGATAACTGAACTGTTTAAAATTTGTAGACTGAGCTAGTTTTCCCTTCTGGCTTTAAAAATTAAAAGACATACTATAGTACTGAAGTGACTTTAGTTACTGAAACATCCTCAACCTCAAGAAACACTATGCCTGTAGTCCAAACTTTTGGTCTCTTCCTTTAACATTTATAGATTTATTACTTGTCTGCGTGCCGGATCTCTTTATTAATCTTCACAGAGCAGGAAATGCAAAATACACCATCTTTTCTCAACCAAGTTTTGCAGTGAGAGAAAATGGTCAGCTCTGCACTAGCCTCCCATGATCACTAATTTATACTTTTCTTACCAACTCTCATTCTAACTTAACTGTGTTCAAAAAACAAGCAACACTCATACCTTTCCATAAGACGCGCTTGTTGAACCTCTTTCTTTTCTGAAGACTGGAACACACTTTTCAGCATTAGTCAGCCAAAGAGCCACAATGCTGACCTTAGTAAAAGCAGGTTATACCACACTTTGCATTCGTGTTAGCTTTTTTCCCCACCACAGCTGCAGATTTACATCTTATGCCTACTGATTTCCTACTCACAGGTTCAATTTTCAGGGCGTTTCTGTAGCTCCCGAAGAAAGATGCTTGTGCTTTTAGAAAAGCTCTTGCAACACCATCTCCAGTGGTTGTAGAGACCTTCTTCAATCTGTTCTTCAGTACAGAAACCTGAAATCACACAACACGTCTAGATCACTCTCATATCACAAACAAAACTTACCACATTGAGGCACAGCTAAATGAAGCACAGCATCACCGCAAGCACCAGTTATGACAAAGTTATATTGTGAATTCAGAGTTGGATTTTGCAGTTCTAAAAGCATTACTTTTTAAGCTGTTTTGCTTCTCTAAGACATGATTGGATTCTATTCAGAAACCAACAGGAAAATAAAATCTTCATTACAACTTTTCCTCCTACTCAAAATCTACCATCAACACGCTGTTGAGTACCCTTTAAAGGTAAGTCCATGAAGTTCTGTGTCACTCTTGATCAGAATCCATGAAGAATTTCAGCTAAATTAATTCATACATCAGACTAATTGAGAAACTGTTCTGTGTAATCAAGGGATCCATCATCGCCAAGGCTAAGAACAAGTTCTGCAGGTCTGAAAAATTTGTTTGCCACAAACACAAGGCTTTTTTCTTTTAAGGCTATATGAGGCTGTATTTTCATTTCTGCATTTCAGAGACTTAATGGAAAATAACAAAATGAGAATTCTATTGATGCATATGGTGGGTTCTCTTGGCCGGCTCCCAGACACCCACCCAGCCCTCTCCCACCGCCCCTCCTCAGCAG